GTCTTGTTAGTTCGTAAGATTAAGTTTTTCGGTATCTTGTTTCATTCAGGAGTACAATATTGGGAAATGTCCCCTCATCCCTTTTTATGTTATCCTTACTAGAATTGGTCTAGGCTCACTTACAATCTATTCACTTACTGTATTTTTTTCTTATTTCGTCGCGTTTCTCTTTCCTCTCTTTTTCCCTAAAAAAAGTACAGAGAGAATATAAATTAAAACCCCTCATGATGATAAATAAAAAATGATACATCAACTTGAAGGTTATAGATACCTTTCCTCATGTTTACTGGCTATTTTTTTTCTCTTCCGACGAGACTTGGCCTCATCCTTGTCAGTCCTAGAAATAGAAAACCTACTTTTAAGGAAATTTCTCGCCCAAGGAGTTTTTGGTCTGACAAAGAAAGATAATGGGTTTTATCTGTACGCACGGACACACTTAGAGAAGGAACGATACGAGTGTTCTCGCAGAAGAATTACATCGATGGCGACGCGAGGGCAGACAGGGAAAGGCTTCCCTTGGAAAAAAAAAACAAAACAAAAGAGTCTAGTAAGCCACAGCCCTCTCCTTACAACAGAGCAGAAATCATTTCATAAGATAGACTCGGAATAAAATAGAGTCCGAAGTGATCCTGTCTCAAATCGTTTTATATGGATCGCGCCTGTCGCAATGTCTTTAAGAACTTAACGACTTACTGAAGAAGTGTACATTGCTGACAGTTTAAAGTGGTTTGCCAGCGCTTGCGCTTGTGCCGAAAAACTAAGCGAAAGGTATTTTCTAAGTTTGACTGTGATTATACACTAAGCTCGTTATTATTATTATCATTATTATTATTATTATTATCATTATTATTATTATCATCAGTAACATTATTGTTATTATTATTGTTACTATTATTGCTCATTAGAATCTGGCCATTTGCGGTCGGCATATGATGACAAAGTACTGGTAGATGTTAGCATGATAGCATCTTTCCCTCAAATTTGCGCTGTCAACAAAATACAAACCACGAGGTTTACAGGAGAGCGTTATTGAATGAGATATCGATGATTATTTGTTACTTACCCTCCCCTTGCTTTCTTTGTTCGACAACAGCAGCAGTAGATACAACATCCTATTGTCACAAGCGCCACAAAACCCGCCACAGGAAGGGCAATGAGAAGAATTTTTCCGGTGACTGAAAAAAAAAAGGAATTTAATAGAATCTTTTGGAAGGTCTCCTACTGCGTTAATTAATTAAAGACCTATTCCTTTAAGTTTAGCCATAGTTCCTACCGAGACACTGTTCTTTCATCCACTCCTGACCTTCACAAGACTTTTGGAGTGTGTTCTTTATCAAATCACCTGCTTCGCATATTTTGGTTGGCTTGCAGTACATACACTACAGATCAATGTATAGAAAACTGAATAAATAAGCAAATAAATGAATATACAAATTGGTGAAGAGAAGAAATGCAAATAATTAGGACAAGCCATCACATAAACATATTGAGTTCAATTTGTCGTATTGTATTTAGTCAATAGGGTTGTAGACTACCTGCTGTGGGAAGGCGTGCCAACTCCTTTGTAGGCTATACCCAAGTTTAATAGGGTTTTTAGGTTACAGCTATAAAAAATTTGATAAATCTCGTTTACTGCATGATGGAGTTTCAGATTTTTACTTTCTTACCAATGTTAGAATTAAGTGGTAATAATCTAACAAGTGGCTTGATGTTGAAGTAAAAAAAAAAGGGAGACGATGAGAACAACTATTATCGTTTTATATGTTAGATTTGTGATTTTCCAGTGCCAATCATTTGTTTGATTCCAGCTGAATTTTTAGGTTGCCTCTAACTACATTCGTGCATATAAATGTATTAATTATACGGTAAACTTACCCCAGACTGTTCAATGCAATCTTTACACTCCATTCCGCTGTATTTACTGCAGTTAACTATGGATTAAATAAGTGAAATTGAAAGGGTTACGCGACAATCGATCGAAAGTACTCGATTATAAACCAAACCTCTTCGGAAGAGCTGCGGTTATCCTAAATGT